CTTTGACCCTTAATAACTTTTGTAATTGCTGTTTCCGCAAAAAAAGAAATATACCGTTATACTCACCGTAGTTATCTCTATCGATCCCCATATGTTTTTTTTTTTTTAATTTGAGAATCGGAGCTATTCTGCATATATGCCCAAATTTTGCTCAACTTCTGTAAGTTTGGCAGAAATGCAACTCTGAGAAATCACGCACGCAAATTGATTTCAGTTGATCAAATGTGAAAAACTTGCGTGCGTGCGTAGAAAAACTCACGCCGGTAATATTAGGTTGAGCTGTTAAACAGGAAAATGCGCAAAAAGTATTTGGAATTTCTTCGTATGTAATTTCATCGGGAGTTCGCGCTTAGTCCTTTCGGTATTCGGTGGAATAAAACCTTTTTGATTTGTGCTTTGTTTTTACGCATAAATAATTCCTATTAATTTTCATAAAATTCAACATTTATATTATGTCAAAATTTGTATTTGTATCAAAAGGGTAAAATATTTATTCTTTATTTCCGATACACATACCAGTATTTTCATCGATACTCAGATTATAAACCATTTCATACTGTTATCGATACTTTTATGTCATCGGAACATCGCTAGTTGACAATAGAACAGCTGATTATCAAGGGAAGAAACATTGTATCAGCACTGTTCCTTAACGTCAGTGTATGCAATGTATAAGGATGCGATGTTTCGCAACTCTGCATACATAAACGGTTTAAATACCGCAGTAGAACAGTATCAAAACATTGTATTGGTACGTTTTGGAAGTCAGCCAAATACAGTGAATCGACAAAAACGATAAATAAAGGAATACATGAATAAATGAGACAAACGGTGAAATGCCACAGGGCGACCTAACAGAGTTGAATCGAAAATTAATCAAGCTTTCATTTGAGTTACAATATGCTGTCAATAGTCTTCACTTTACAAAGTATTTGCATAAAACAACCCTAGTCCATCCAACACCGGCTACCCTATCCACAGTATTTTTTCGCAGAATTCTTTCTGCGTAGGCGGCCTTCGGCCGCGCTTAGATATTATAACCCTCACTAAAAAATAATTCTCCTTTCTGTGGTACCACAGAAGAGAACCGGAACCTCTTTCTGCGTAGGCGGTCTTCGGTCGTACTTAGGGACTATAACCCTTACTACCCAGAATTCTCCTTTCTGTGTTGTCGCAGAAGATAAGCGGAACCTTTCTGCGTAGGGGGCCTTCGGCCGCTCTTAGGACTTAAAACCCTTATTACGCAGAATTCTCCTCTCTGTGTTGCCGCAGAAAAGAAGCGGAACTCTTTTATACGTAGGCGGCCTTCGACCGCACTTAGGGATTATAACCCTTACTATGCAGAATTCTCCTTTCTGTGTTGCCAGAGAAGAGAAGCGGGACTCCTTTCTGCGTATTTATAAATCCTTAATAAGGGAATTAAAAAAATGAGTTTGTTAAAATTTATTTTATATATTTTTTACATTAATTGGATTTATGAGAAAACTAACCAATGCATATATAGAGTATGTATATTAAAGTAAAGGCAATTAAATTTCCTATCAAATGAGATAAAAAATTTAAAAGTCCATGCCTTCGTTTTTAAGAAATTTTTATTTATATAGGTGTTTAATTTGACCTTTGACCCTTAATAACTTTTGTAGTTGTTTCCGCAAAAAAATATATACCGTTATACTCACCGCAATGATCTCTATCGATCCCCAATGCATTTATGCCGATATCTAGGATTAAAGACGTCAGTATCTTCGAAACCAATTAACCGTTTGAAAAATTAAGCAAAGGTATTTTAAACATATTTCGTTTGATATACATATTGTATGATATTTGTGGAAAAGATGAGAATAAATATATATGAAAAAAATGCTATGAGTTGTTTCAAAAAAAAAGAAGCTTTATTAACATAGCCCTTAAATATATTTCTTAAAATGTATATTTGATTTCCTTTTATCTGATGTATCATATGACTTCTTTATGTTTGCATTTTACTGTATATATATTTTTTTTTT